ATTCGTTGTGTCAGTGGTAAGTTGAACAGTAAAATAAGCAATGACAAAAGTATGGTTCCCCTCAACATGCTTCCTAAGTTTATTGTGTGCCTCGTGGCCTCGTATTGAAAAGTTAACCTGAAAAAATAAAGTAAAACTGCCGCAGCATTACGCTCTATGCAGAGCTCACGCTGCTTCCCCTTTAGTCATGCAGGGCAGTAAGTAAGTAACGTTGGCCTTTTTCTGGTAGACATTCTGGAATATTCTCAATTTCCTCTGCTCTTAACAGCTGGGGAACCAAACAACAACAGAGCCATTGGTTTTGAGCCACAATGTCTGATATCATTTATTTACGTGATAATTTTTAAACTTTAAGTATAAAAAGGCCACATTTAATGTATTTTACTTTGTCTTGGTATCAACAGATATATAACTGTACTTTTATGCTGATTATCTTGTTACAGATGGAAAAAGAGGGTCGCAGTAAGGTGTGGGCCTACTTCACTAAAGATCCATCCGGTGATGTCATCTGCAGCATCTGCTCATCTTCAGTAGTAGTTTGTGTGTTCTGTTGGTTTTGAGATTGCTAAATAAATCTTATTTGCATTACTTGGAAACCCTAGTGAGTTATTGAGACAGTTCTTTGGTGTGTAATATAGAAATAAGTTAGCATCAAAAAGGCAGAGAGTGAAGGGTTTAATCTTAAGAACATTTGTATTTATTTTTTGTGAGGGAGATTTATCGGCCATTATATCGGCTATCGGCCTTTGTTAAAAGTTTTATATCGGTATCGGTCCCAAAAAAAGCATATCGGTCGGGCCCTAGTCTGAATGCATATTGCTTTCCATCGTAGTCGTCATCAGCAGCTTTCCGTGCTTCATTCGGTCTGGTGCTTAGTGGTTCTGCAGTAACTACACCACTTTTTGCGATCACACACTTGGGCTCTGTGTCCTTTTTGACCACATTTAAAACAAATCAAGCCTCTGTCTCCAGCGCTCCGCTCATTCACACTTGGTTGTGTA